CCTCTTCTGAGCTCTGAAGAAAAGATAATGAACCAGCTTGAGTTGGGTTTTCCATTACTTGGAACATGGTCCTGAGATTACAAAAAATAAAACAAACAAACAACAAAAACTGGCTTAAGCAAGAAGGGGATTTATTGGCTTATATCACAAGAACAGTCCAGTAGTAGTTCAGGCTTAAGTGTTGGTTTGATTCAAGGGCTCAATGATGTTGTCAAGGACATGTTTCTTCCGTCACTCTTCTCTGTCTTTCCTGGTATCATCTCCACTGTAGGGCTGGCTTCTTATATGGTGTGTTACATTATGTACTACACCACCCAGAAGGAAAGTAAAACTTCTTTCCCAGAAGAAAAACTTCCAGCAAAAAGTTCAGGAAAAAGAAATTCTTCTCTAATCTCACTATCCTAAAATAGATCACATGGCAAGTACTGAATTGTGGTCAGGAGTACAATTATCCTGATTAGTTATATCTAGAAGTTATATCTAGAGTTAGTGTCCCATAAAAGCCAAGAGGGACATGTGATCAATAGAGCAAAAATCAGGGTAGTTAATAAGAGAAGGAGAAATGTGCACAGACACATTTCATATTGTCTATTTTCTTTTAGGTTTATAGGTAATATTCCTCCCTGAATTAGGATTCTGTAATGTATAGCAAAGATATAGCCAAGAAGAAAATAAATTTAGACCAGATAATACCATCCATTGTTGTTAAAAATATTTTTCATTATATCCTCTTTCCTGTCTATGAACTCATGTTCAAATCACATCTCTGTTGATGGGAGAAGTTTCTTTGGCAGCGGCAGAAAACTACTCTGTAAATTACCATTTTTAAGAGCAGTCCAGTTCCCAGTCTGTCTCAAGAAATCCCCTTTTCTTTTATTCTAGGAAAAGGTATTACTGTCTTGAGGCATAAGGTAAATTCTTTTTGGTATGAAAATACAATCCTTCTTTTCTTTATCAGAATGAAAAAATAAATGCCTAGAGCTTGAGTCTTTTGCAGTCTTTTGCCTATATGTGAATTTAAAGTTCATTTTATCTTATGGCAGGAACACATCTAATTAATTTGGCATTCTTTTCTATATAGCTTTTCCTGGAGGGAGATCTAGTTTCATTTATGATGAACACTTAATTAGTAAGTTAATTTCACTTCCTATATATGCTTTGTAGCTGTCCTATTAGAGTAAGGGGGAGATGCCATGGTGAATTCTTAAGTCCTCTGATTGTTTCAGTCACTCAAAGAGATATTTACTATGTCCCCAGAAATATGTTGGCATTAAAGTGCAATGCACTGGCCATGGCCTCCAGGAGTTCATCTAGCTGGGAAGACAGCCATGAGCTTATAAAACAGTTAAGAAACAAAGCAGAGCAGTGTGAAATTAGAGATCAGAAGTAGTACTACAGGGCGCCTGGGTGGCTCAGTTGGTTAAGCAACTGCCTTCGGCTCAGGTCATGATCCCAGGGTCCTGGGATCGAGTCCCACATCAGGCTCCCCCTGCTCTGTGGGGAGCCTGCTTCTCCCTTGGCCAGCCACTCCCACTGCTTGTGCTCTCTATCAAATAAATAAATAAATAAAATCTTTAAAAAAAAAAGTAGTACTACAGAGAGTGAGGGTCACAGGAGAACAGTGCATGGGTGGACATGGGAGGAATGAAGCTATGGTCACTCTGAGAGGCTGAGGAAGAGCCCTAGAAAAAGAGGACTTGAGCTGGACCTTACAGAATATTTAGATGGGGTAGACAGAGAAAAGACAATGGGGCATAGAGGGATGGTCCGGAGGTTAAAAGGAGCATTAGCATTTCAAAGACTGATATGAATCCATCCTCCCAAAGAGGAAGGACTGAGTTGGGGGACAGTGGGAATGACTACACTGGGCTGCCCAGTTACAAACCAATGGGCAGCAGCAAGAGGAGAAGGCACCTCCCTTCTTCAAAAAAGGTTGCAATGTAAGAGAAGAGTTCGGACTTGATCTTGGTTCCCAATCTTGTAACCATGTGAACAGTAGGGTTGAGTCTGAGGTCATAGCGGGGCATCCAACGGAAATCCTCTTGTAAACAGTAGTGGGGATACATTCAAGCCAAATTTGGGTATGATGCAATCCAAAGTTGACTTCTGGATCTGCAGACTTACTGCCAGATGGCTGCACGGTTTCTCTCAGTAATTTCATTCATCTCTTGGTCATGTGATTGGATTTTTTGGACTCTACTTATAGGATCACTCTCCTTCCAGAAGCCCTTTTGACAGAGATGTCCAACCAGAATATATAAGTAAAATAATGCTAACTATGGCTTTAATAACCTACAGGAAATACTGCAATTTTTCAAAGAACCTAATGTCCATCCTGGGAGAATACAGCTTATTGATATATTTATTACTGTGTATGGGTAGCATGACTTGTTGCTTATTTAACATGAAAAAAAAAACACCCAGTCTCAGCACGCATATATGCATATATATATCACCAAATTCTAAATCTAGGTGGTCTCAAATTTAGGGCCCATTAATCTAAGGTTTTTACTTAAAACACAGATTCACGTGTCCTGGTGGAGGCCTGCAATCTACATTAATAAGGATCTTGTAGCAGAAGAAGATTCTTTGGAAAAATACTACCTTAACTCCCAGGTGTTAGTTAAGCTCTCTCAACCAGTGTGCCTGGTTTTAGATGTTCAATAAATATTTACTGTATTGTATTAATGTATTCCCAGACCTAATAGCAACAAGGCACACTTCTTCGCTACCTAAATGTATCAAGCCTTCCAAGGGTAAACTATCATTTGATTGATCCCACATAAGAGAATATAGCAAGGTGCTATATACATGAACTTCACTTGAAGTCAGCCAATCTGGGATTTATCTCTACTTTCTTGACAAGTCATTAGCCCCCAAGCAAATAAATTATTTTTCTTCATTCTTCCATTTACCACACCAGCAGCTCAATGGGGTAGGCAGTTAAAGATGGAGAAGTAAAAACTTATTAAATAAAATTCAATATAAATATGAATTGTATTTTTTTTTTTTTTTTTTGTAATTTACTACAAATGAGATCTCTAGATCATAAGCTCCTCCCTACATGATTCTGGGCCTTAAATACTGAGCCAAGTTCTGAAGATAGTTTTTGAATGCTTGCTGATTTTTGCTCATTCTTTAATATTACTGTGACATAGTTATTGATTTATTAATTGAATGCATTAATTTTTAAGATGAAATTCTGGCAATTTAAGTTAAACGGTATTTGACTTATTATAAATGACTTTCAATATATTTTTTTAAGCCCAGAAATCATCAAGGGCTCCAAAATAAACACAACTGAATTCCCTATTCATGGGAATTTCATATGAAGGCTTTGCTTTAAAGTTGTTAATATCAATTAATAAAACAAAGAATCCACAAATGACTGTTCACATTTTGTCCTTTCAAAATACATTTTTAAAGGTATTCAATTAACTCTTTGCTTGTTCATGTTCTTTTTCCTTCCACCCAAAGCACATTAATCAAAAATAGTTTGTAGATCTCTAAACATTTTAAAACCTCCAAAACTAATTATTTAAGTCATTTTTATGCAGAATTTCATCAAGACCAATTTAGTCTGAAGAGTTACTTGTAAAAGAACATGTTAGATTGTTATTTTAGAAGCATAACTAATATCCAGGTACTAACTCCCACCAATGGATAGTAACTTTCTGAATATTGAGCAATGTATATATACACTAGGGGATGGAAATTTATCTAAATGGTGCATCCGAGAAGTGTTCCAACATCCATGCCTATTTATGAACTTAGTATCTTCTTAGGCATCTCCATCTGAGTAGCTACTTTAAATTTTTAGTTGAATTCAGTTAACACATCAAGCATATATTAAAGTACAGTTTATGAAAATACATGGATGCTTATATATTCCAGACATGAAAGATCTTATGATTGCTAAAGAAAATATAATTCTTTAAGAGATTTTAGTTATTTCCTAAATGTCTTTTTTTCTCCAAACATTAGACGAAGTTGCATTGTTTATAAAAATTTATTCATACAAATTTTACACACTTTATATAACAGTTATCAAAGTCCTAGTTATAGATATCATGTGTGTAATAATACTTGGTTAAGATGTTTTTATAATCAGTTGCACACAAAATAAGAGCTCCAAGACTAACATCTACCTAAATTATCACTATATCATAAATCTGCTCCAGGTTAGTAAGGCTCTTGGCATTTCTAAAAAGTATACAAAAGATTAAACTGGGTGATCACTGTAAATGCTTGCAACTAGCCACGGGAACACTAAATTAGACTTCATAAATAAAAGGTTAACTAGAGCCCTATTTCACCACTAACAGCTGACACAAATACAGAAAACTCTGCCCATTATCCAAGAAACAAATAATTAAGACTAAAATGCAAGCCGATGTGTTGCAGCATTGTAGGGCCACTAAATAGCCATCTGTGATTCGTGGCGATTTAAAAGGCGAAGAAAGGCACTAAAGCTGCAAACTGCATCCCATGTCACATTGCCTGAGGAGACTGCAGAATTAAAGAAAGATTGATCCCATACACAGGACTCAGGCATAGATCGAATGCCTCTGTGCTTTCTCTGTTTGCAATGTGATCTCCTGGCAGCATCCATCCCGCCTGGGAATGCAAATCCAATTCTGTTTTCTTTGATTTATGACTTCATACTGAATCAAATCCGTAAAGGAAAAGGAAAGGTCCTTTGAACTTTACAAGCTAGTGTTTAATCTTTTCTTGTTCTCTTTTTTTTTTTTTTCACAAAAGAATCTGTGCCTGAATTTTGGGAGTTTGGCTGGTTTGCCTGTTGTAGCTTGATCTGGTTGCTGGGTGAAGGTTTTGTTTATAGAGATTACTCACATGTTCAAGGAATTGATAGGAAACAGACAGACATGCTTTCTGTAGCCAAGAAAGGATACAAGGGGGAGGTTCTCAAGGTCTGTTGGAGCTTGTTTAACTCACTTTTGACCACAAATATAATATAGTACTCATACATATGAAGATGAGGTTTAAATGATTTATCAGTTAGAAAAACTGAGCAACATGTGAACACTACACATTCTAATATGACAAAGGTTGGTTTTATGAAATAAATTTTACTAAGCAATAAGCCATAATGTAGAAAAATACATTTTACCTACAAACTCAATAAACAAGAAACAAAAGGTTCATATTTAGTGCATAATTACTTAGTGGTAACTATACAGGGGTTCCTAAACTTTACAATAAGTGCTTGCATCAGACAACAAAAAAAGTAAGAAGCATTCACAAGTTTAAGAGAAATGAATGAAAAATGGTAAACGGTACTTCAACAGTGCAAGAGGGTGGGAAAGAGTCTTCAGAAAATCACAAAAGTGTGGCTCCTACAGAGCCGGGTCCAAAGGGAAGCATCCTGGTCATTTCACAAGATGAGAAGCATTGACAGCACTGGAGAAAAACACATTGTACTTTGCATCCATTTCCAATATCCAGCGCCCAAAGTCAGTCAGGCAGGGGACCTATGGTGGGACTCAGCTTACCCTCAGTGTCCCAGACCTGGGGCAGCTCCAAACCAGTCCCTCTCCAGTGTCCTCCTCTGACTGCTTTATGCTCTGCCTCTTCCAATACACCTACATTTCCTTCACTCTGTTCCAATTGCCCTAACCTTGGGATATTGAGTTTCCTGGAAGTACAAAAAAGGGAGATTTTTCTACCAAGTCTCCCTTCTCTGTACAACCCAACAACACTTCCCCCAGGGAGTGGTGTGAATTCTGGGGAGAAGCACAATTTGGATTGAGCTGTTGTTTTTATCAGGAGAATTTCCTCTGGGCTGAGAGTCTGAAGAGAGACAAGTACACATAAAAGTAGAATCAAAGAAAGCAGAAGTACTGGAATTGCCACCCAGTGAGGGGGACAAAAGGGGACAGTCCTAGTTGAGTTCAGCTGGGACTGTAGCAGCCTGCCCCAGAGACTCCCTAGGAAAGAATGCCCTTCAGCAATTCTCCCAAATGATTACCTCCAAATCTCCCTGGAGCAGGGCATTGTTATGTACAGTAGCAAATGGTCAGTATTAATATCTTCAGGCCTGTCGTGGATAAAAATACTATCCTTTTAATTCCATTTTACAAAAATAGGAGTAATATTCAAAACAATGATTGTCTATTTTTCTATTTATTTTATATAAAAACATAAACAGCTCAGGCGAATTTTCAATCCTTGTGCACACTCTGTATGAACTGCTGTCTATTATACCTATATATATATTCTTAATATATATATTTATAATATATATATCAATAATTGGTCCACAAAGTATACCTGTGCATTCTCTAGTGCTTTGTAAAAAGAAAAAACAATATTATTATCAAAATATTCATTTAATGGCTTTACTTCATACATAAATACATGTTTGGATAGAACACATGAGCGATGACTGTTCAGTCAGTTGGGAAAGTGACTTGTCATTGTGTCAGGATTGTATACACAAGGTAGCTGGTAACTCATCGCTACAAATACGCTATTCGGCGTCCTTTGTTTTTAACCCTTTGTTTATACCTTTTCCCTAGGACGGCGGCCAAGTATTTCTTGACAGCCATTTGTTTCCGGTAGCGACTGTAGCTGTCGGTGAAGATTCCGTCTGAATGGCGCTTGGAGAGAGGCTCCGAGTCGTCCTCCGCGCCGCCGCCTAGGTTCCCACTGCAAGGAAAGGGGTCGGGAAGAGGTGGCGGGGCGGGAGACACAGATTCAATAGCTGCGGGGAGCAGGTGGGCCCCACCCCACGCGGGAGCCTTCAGGGAAGGCACGGCTCTCATTGCCCACCGCGCCGCCTTCCTCTGCCAATAAGCAGCTGGAGGGGAGGGCTGTGATGGAAACCCCTCATTCCTCCCTCCCCACCGAGGCTTTCCTGGCACTAAATCCTTACGGAAGGGACCCGAAATGAGGTCCGGGCCAGGGGCACGCGCGAATCACGCCCAACCTGTCCCCAAATGCTGCCCTTTGAGATTTGACCATCCGCGCTTTTGCGCTAACTTGTCCTAACTGTTCCTCTCACCCTTCCCACCACCACCACCCCCCCCCCGGTACAGAAAAAATAACCAAAGAGCCCCAAGTGCCACGTTGGCTGCTTCCTGAGAGTTTTACATCGATTCTGCAATTCCTTGTCAGACATGAGCACTCCGCCCCTTCCGCACGCTAAGTTGAAAAACGTGATGATAATAATATAAGTCGACAGGCTGTAGGCAATATTTTTCATCACATGAATTATTCATTGCGAAAAATGTAATCTGTTTCCCCATGGGCTTTATTAAAATGTTGCCTTCTGCTGAGAGATGCTCCACGCAAGCCCTGTGCTCTGGGTTTGTCTGGCACGCGCAAGAACTGTTTGTTTCCCTAACTGCCCAAATTTGAGGATTTGTTGGGTTTCGATTTGAATTTACAGTAAAAGAATGTTTTTAAAAAAAAACAATCATGCTTAGAAGAAATTACAGCAAATCGTCCCGCGAAGCTCGAAGGTTTTCAATGACTGGGAGGTGAGAGGGGAGGGAAGGAGACTATTTGGTTTTTCTTTGTTTTTTTAATTCAAAATGATCAAACTCCCCGGTTTCTTTGCCCTCTCCTTGCCTCTTGCCTCTCAGAACTGTCTCGCCAAACTTAAGGCGCTGTATCAAAACCTTCGCCTGTGATCGCCGGCTGGCCCCGAACACCCTGCGTCGCAGACGCACCCTCGGGCCCACGCGCACGCACGAACGCAGAAGCGGCACCGCCCACCCCGCGCGCGCTCGCACGGACACCCACCCCGGAGCGCGCGCGCCGAACTGCGGCGCTTAACTCTTTCGCAAACTCTTACCCTAGGCCCTTGGCCACGAGTGTCTGCAGGTATTTCCGGGCGGACAGCTGGTCCAGTACTTTGCGGTAGGCCTTGTTAAGGATCCCTTGGGTGACATCTCTAACGGGGAGGCAAAGTGAGTGCCCAAGGTCACTGACTCTGTCCCCAAGAAGTCGCCCCAGGCCCCCAGCTGGGCACTCACGCGCCTCGGCCCTCCGGGAGGCTGACGGGAAACCCCTCCGGAGGCACAGAACTAGCGAATCACTCTTTCGAGATGTTCCCGCCACTGACTGCTAGGAACGGGAGTTCCTGCTGCCCTCCAGGGATGGCAGGCATGGAGTCTGGTTGGGGCGCGCACTCCCGACCATTCCTTGGGCCACAGACCTTTTGGTCCCACGCGACCCTTACGGCCACACAGACCGGCCCGCTACTAACTTTCTGTCGCTCTCATGGGTACCAGCCAGAGAGAAGAGAGGCTTGAGGGGTTTTATGAAAAACAACCTATTCGGTGGGCCACCACCCTGCCCCTCCCTCCACCTCAGTCCCGGGCCGTAGCGGAGGCCGCACGGGTGGTACCTCTTCTCTGCGGGGTAGTAGAGCGCGTAGGCGTCGCGCAGCGCGGAGGCGGGGCTCCCCACGCCGGGAGGGTCAGAGTCGTAGAAGTACTGCAGCGGGTTTCCGTCCTCGTCGTACGCCTCGTCCTCCGGCCTGCGGGGGTAGCCGGGGAGGCAGAAGGAGTGGTCAGTACAAGTCCCTCCCCGGCTCTGCAAGGACCCAGAGAAAGGGGCTCGCGACTGATTTCCTTCTTTCTGAAGGTCCCCCCACGGAGAATTGCCACTTCTTCCGGGACGGAGAGGGGGTAGAGGGAAGGCGAAAGAAAGTACACCCAAGAGAAATTTCCCATCCCTCCAAGTTGCTCTCCGACCTGTCCTCTCGCGGATAAAGGGTCGCCCTTGCAGGGCCCTGGGAAGCCGAGACGTCTGTGCCGACCCGGTACACCTGGCCATCGAAAAGTATCTACCTCCCTACGGGCCTGGCGCCTGAGCCACCCCAAACAAGCAGCCACGGGCGGGGACGAGAAAGGTCCTGAGAGACAAGACGCTGGCCAAGGCGAAGACCCGATAGGGAGGCCCAGAGAGAAACAGAGGGAGGGTGGATGGGTGGGGTGTGCGGCGGCCGACTCCGCCAGCCACCCCCACCAGCCTCTGAGCCCAGGGGAGCCCTTCCCCGCGCAGATGTAGGTCACGGAGAACCTCCGACTTCTATTTTGGGCGGGAGAGGATCTGGCAGGAACATGAATAATAGATGCCCCTAAACTTAGCCTGTTTGGCCGTGGCTCATTCTGTGGCATGTCCGCGCACTCTGGTGCTCCTCGCCTGAGGAAAGTGCCGGGCACTCGGGACTTTGAAAATTGCTAGGAGTGAAATAGGACTTCTAAGTCTGCTAAATAAATAGTTCGCGCTAATCTGTTAGGGATGTTGGGGCGGCGGAAAGGGAAAGGGTCAACAAGGGACGGAGAGCCAACAGGAGCGCCGCGGTCTCGAAGTCGCCCTTGCCTAGCGCCTCTATCCTTGCTATAGGACGGGGAGTGATGGGCTAAAACGCAAAACCCCCTCGCTTTGGGCCGCTGGAGAGACTCGGAACGCCGCCAGGGCAAGTAGCGCTCTCTAGTAGTGTTTAGAGTCGTACTTCGTTATTCTGCTCGCCTTTCCTTCATCCGTGGAGAGGTAAGGACGAGGCAAGCACATGCCTCCGTCCCCCCCACACCCAGCCCTTCCTCGGCGACGCGCCTCCTCTATAACCCAGCTTCCCAGAGTCCCCGGGTCTTTCTGGACACTTTCATCCCTGCCCCGTGCCCAGATGCTGGAATCCTAATATTGAAGTCAGAACCCATCTCTCCGGCCAAATCAATAATCACCGGCCCTTAAAGGCGACCTTTCTTGGGCGCGGCTCGGAGAAGCAGCTTTGCCGGCAGAAGGCGCGCTCCTAGCTGCAGGGAGCCGGGAGCCGAGAGCCCGGCGGAGCGCGGAAGCTGCGTTGCAAAGGGAGCTTCCACTCTCAGGCTGACCGCCCCGGGACTTTGGGGCTGCGTAAGGAACCTGGCAGTGCCAACCGATTAGAAACCAGGGGTTAAGAAAAAAGCCAGGATTACTCCAGCTTCAGGCGGGCAGGGTTGTCCTGGTCCTGCTTGCCTGCCTGCTTTCTCTTCCTCCTGCCTTGCATCCGTTTCATCCGTTCCTCCCCCTTCCTTTCAAGACCTCCAAACAAGCTCCCCCTTCCTTTCAGACTCATTCTTGTTCTTCCTTCTCTCGAATCGCTTTTCCTCAACCATACCCGGCCAACACTCCCCTTCCCCAAGACAGTCTGAGATTCAAATTGCAGTTGGAAAATGTGTCACTTGAGAGAAAGCTCTTCTAGGGGAAAGAATTCGAATGAAGTGAAAGGGAGATCAGAGGAGAGAGAGGGAGACCCCGCCCCGATAGTCCAGAACAAGCTGTAACAAAGCAAAGTCCACGGGAGCTTCACGCTCAACCCTCCAACCTGGCTGCGGCACCAGATTAGAAGTTCTCCTAACTCAAGCTAAGAATAGGGAAAAGAAGTCAAGCTCGGGGCCCGGCCCTGCCCCCTACCGCGGGCGGGGCTGGGGGAGGGGAGGTTTATCTAGCCCGCTGAAGCTCCCTTGCTTTACCCCGGCCCCTTTGCTGCGGCGGGCTGGGCTGGGGGAGGGGCGCTGAGCTGCAATGGAGCCTGCCCCGGACCTTCTGCTGAGCCGGGTCCCGGGCTAGGGACCCGAGGCCGGACCCAGGCTGACAGCCGCGTACTGGGAGCCGGTGGGGAGATGGTCATAGCCGGGACCGCGCAACTGCAGGAGGACGACCAGGAGGAAGTGTTAGGGGAAACCAAGCCTCAGCTCAGCCCGGGCGGCCAGCACCTACCTGATTCCAGGAAACCGGAGTCCTGCGGCGGCAGGTGAGCAGTAGACGCTGCTGTGCATTATTATCCCGTAGACCAGGAGGGCCAGCCTCGCTCCGCTACACATGGTCATTCTGCGCAGAAGGGAAAAGAGGGCACACAGCTGTCAGAACGCCCCTGGCCTTTCACCCGCCAACCCAAGGAAACTCCCCGAGCTGGGGGAGGGACAGAGCAAAGCTCCGGCTCCCAGTGTTGAATACCGCTTAATGACAGCCTGTGCGCACCCTGCCACTTCCCTCTCGCTATAGTTAGAAAAAAAAAAATATATGTATATACCTAGTGCCCGATAACTAGCCAAACCTGGTGCGAAGGAACGCTAACTCGTACCCTGATGCTGAGGGGTGAAAGAATCAACAAAGGAGTCGTTTGGTTTGATAAGATGTTTTTCCCCTTACCATTCAACTCTTACCGCTGCTAGGAGAGGTTTGTTGCCAAGTAGGACGGCGGGCAAAGGGCTCCTCCAAGTTTCTGCGCTGGAGTCACAACCCAAGAGGCATCACCGTCTGGCGTTAGTGTCTGAGAAGCCGCAGGAATGAGCAGGAGCAGCAGGAGGAGCTGGAGGACTTGTTTGCTGAGGCCAGTATTCTGTTCAAAAGTTTGCAGACGCACAGAACTAGGAGGAAGCGTGACACCGAGAGAAGGGGGCGAGGAGAGAGCTGGAGAAGGAAGAAAGAGGAGGCGAGGAGCTCAAGTGGGGGTGGGAGACAAAGTGGCCTAAGTCCACCAGGAGAAAGGAGTAAGTGATTAAGGAAAAGAGGGAAAGTCAAAGAAGTAGAAGAAGGAAGAGGGAGGGCCGCGGCGCAGCCGGGGTCTGCTGGACCCTCCTGGTCAGGCAGTTGTGCAAGTCGGCAGCGCCTTCTCTGCTCTGAGGTCCCTCTGGCTGCGTCTGAAGCTGCGGCTTCTGCTGCTGCTGCTGCCGGTGGTTACAGAGGTGACCGGCCCTCTGCTCCTATTTATATGTGCAGTTAGCAGAAATCTATCCGAATGTGGTTTTAGAAGAGCCTTCCTTGTCAACATCTGCCTATGGCCTTTAAGTACAGAATATTTTGTTGCACTGTTGCGCTCCGATTTTTATTCATGGAATGACTTCCTTTTTTTTTTTTTTCAGTCACGTAATGATCGGGTATCAGAAAAAGACGTCAGCATCCTAGTCCCTCAAGGAACATATTAACTATTCTGTGCTGTCCTCTTGGATGATAAGATCCGGAGTCATCGACTTCTCATAAACACCTTTCACTCATACAATCCAATTTTTAAGAAGTGCAATTATTTTGATGGTTTTCAATTTTACCCATTTCTCAAGATGGGTAAAGAATTCATAGAATTTCAAGGATGGTAAAAGTCATGTTTTTAATTATGTCCCTACGATTTCTCTTTACTTTTCATCAAGCCCCAGCAATCAGAGCTCTGGTCTCTGGAATTAAGCACCATCAAGCTCTCCTATTAATAAATTTAATTTAGATCTCCTAATTTCTTGCGTATGTTCTTTTAGATAGACAATTAAATGTGGAAGTCGTTTTGTTTTTAAAGGGAAGTCTTGGAGGATTTTCAGTAAATCGCTAATGAGTCTGGCTGTCGTTGACAGTCTGGCTATGAGTAGATTGATTAGAGTTAAAACTGCGGCCCGATCGCGGCCTGTGGAGCTGTCCAAGCTCTGAGTGCTGAATTCTGGTCGCAGATGCTACAAACATTGAAAATTGCCGTTGGTTTAATTTTTCACCAGAGCCTCTAAATCTGAAGATTTGACACTGAGACTATTAATGTGGCAATTCATTGTCCAAGTCTCCCCGCTGTTCAGATACGTTCCCCCTTTGCAGTGTCCATGAATACCCTTAATGCTGAGAACAGTCAGACCCTGCCTACATTTGAGTAAAGAGCATTCTGTTTCCTGTTAGTTCTGGTTTTTAGATCTCTAGATGGCCTATTTGAACACCTTCACACTTTCTGTGGCTCTTACTGATTTCAAAGATTGAAACTGTGAAATTGTATTTTCCACAAAACCGGAAATTTTAAGAATTGGTAGTGAAAAATACATTATTCCCCTTTATTTACAACTTGAGTTCTGTTTGGGGAAATACAGACAGACTGGGAAAGAGTGAGGATTCCCAGTACAGGTTCACTTGCTGAGGGTTTCTAACGGGAATCCCTCCATTGGGAACCCTTAAAAAATTTTTTTAGCTGAAAATGACGTGGGAAAGCAGTAAGAGAAGACTACAGCCACCCGGAGGCTTTCAAGCCCCTGGGCAATTTAAGAAGATTCCTAAATTTCTACTCCAGTAAGAGAAAATCAAGTCTATTTCTTTTTATTGCTCAAAGGAAATAGAACCATCAATAACCATTAGTGTGCATTTTAATTATTTGGACCTTAAACAAAACTTAGAGGAAATGGCAATTTAGTGGGAATATTTCCTATTATAATTTGGAGCTAACATTTAAATAAGCTATATTAGTTCTGCATGCTTTTTCCAAGACAAAATTATAATGTTTCTCATTCAGAATGCCTTTCCTACTTTCTTTTTTAAGGTCTAATATTTCTTTCAAGAAGACAAAGTTTTGCTCATTCCTGGCCATTAATGACCAGAAGCTACTCGCTGCTTCTTAGTTTATTCCTGGGGATGCTCCAGATTGCCTGCCTGCAATAAAACTATGAACCACATCTATGTGGGGATGTATCTCTTTGTCTCCAGTGCATATGTTTGCACATTTTTTGTTGGAGTATTTACATGCATGTGTTCCGTGTTCAGCTCTGCCTCTGGAGTAAATTAGCACACAAAGAGCCTGCGGTGAGCACGACCAACCGGATAATCAAGCAGAGACTTCTTTCTTACTAAAGCGCCCAAAGCTATTACCGACTGTGACTTTCCTGTCTTCCGCCTTGCTTCGCGTCAAAGGTGAACCCGATTAAAAAATCCTTACTCTTCCCTCCCACGCGAATTCTGAAATGAGTTCAATCTGTAGAAATATTTGAAAATTTCCAAGACTCCCTGTACAAATTCACTACTCAACTTTAGTAAAGGGAGCCACCATGTGGGGAGAATGTTGACTTCACGGCCTATCGGAAAGAAAACCACAAACAACATTAACTTTGTGGGGTGGGTGACGGAACTACTGGCTCCGTGGCCCGCCAGAATCTTAACTGTGCCCTAGTTTGCAAGGGTTGTGCCACTTCCACTCTGCTCAGCTTAGGCACTCAGGACCTAACTCGGCGCGGAACTCGGGGCCCAGCACTCCAAAACTGAGGGCCTTGAGGCCTGAACCCATTCACGAAAGTGAAAGACTAAGAAAGAAATCATTTGGAGATTCTTAGTCACTGACCTCCAGAAAATCAAGCTTCCAAGACCCAGCCGTTGCTGGGCACGATCTAAATACCTGCCCAGCCGGGACCCACAGCTTCCCCGGGGGAATCAAGTCAGGGACAGGACGGTCCCACGGATCTTTCGAGCCACTGACGGTCTCTGATTAGGCGACTTTGGCGTCCTTCGAAGCACAGAAGCTTTCCTATTCTCAGAAGTTCTGGCCCTGGGCCCTTGAGCCCGGGGGATACCGGGAAGGCTGCGGAAGGGGAGGAACTAGAAGCTGAGGACCGGACTCCAACAAAACTGCAAGAGTCTGTGGTTGCATCCCCACCTCGCCAAATCCTCCCGCGTGAGCGTAGGCTCCTCCCGCTTTCTATTGGATGGAGGCAAATACCGGGCAACCGATGTCTCAAAGACCAAAACTATCCCCAAGTCCTCCCTGAGAGTAGTAATTTGCTGTTAATGTGGAGGAACATTCTAACTCGGAATATTAACTGCCAATGCTTTCGGGGAGCCTTTGTGTCTGGGGAGCGGTGAAGAGGGGTGCATCAAGTAAAAATGTGGAGCTGGAAAGGCCCGGAGCCACCCTGACCAGCACTGACGAGGTATCCCGGCGGAGGCCACTTAGGAAACCGCGCCTGGTACGGACTAGTTCATTGCAAACGCAGATACGATCTGGCTTAAAGCGAGGCCTGGGGCCTTTGAGGCGTGTTCGAAGGACCCTCGCCCAACGCATCCTTTCTGGGAGAAGGGGAAAGAGGAGGGATAGTGAAAGGAGAACCGGGGCAGGACAGAGCAGGGCACGACAAGGGGGAGAGCCTTCCTGTTTTATCCTGATCTCACCCTGGTTCTCTCCCAAAGAGATGTTTACATCCTCCTGAGGCAACTGAGGTTAAGAGCGAGAGAAACCTTCAGATATCCTGTATATAACTGAAAACGACAGGAGAGAAAAGGGAGGGAATGAAGGGACCCAAAAGTTAGAACTTCCTTTCAATTAACAGATAACACAAAGGAATTTCAAGTACCCTTTCAGGCAACCCCACCCTGTCCCCACATCGTTCACCAGACCTAGTAGAATTCTTAGGCAGCAACGTTTCTTTCCCGGCTGTGGAAACGAAGACTGGCGTAGACTAGACTAGATTGGAATCACATCTAGTTAGAAAAGCTAATGCAACCACGGAAATCTTCCCAGTGGTAGATTTCTCCTATGTCCTCTGAGAGCGGGAGGGACAGAAGGCATCACTCTGGAGCTATGCCTCCACCTACCCAGCACAGGCTATTTGAAAATATTTGTTGAAAATGATGAGAACCTGAATTTCAATCCCCTAATGTATTAACTGCTTTTTGTCCTGTTTGTCCTTAAGATATGAAAACATAACTTTTGGTCTGAAATGGTGAATCCTAGCTACAAGTCCAACTAATACTTGCCTGAATTGTTTTTTCTGGTCACTCGACACATCTGTCCTTGCTGAAGTTTCAAGCCTTGAAACCTCAATCAACACTCAGAGAATGCTTTGGCCCTTGAAAAGGTGAGTTTTGTATCCAAACAGGAGGAATATGTCTAGTATATTTACTAAGAGTTCGAATTTGCAGATGGTTTCACAACATTAGCAAATACCTGGCATAGACAGCACTCAATTCCCTAGGGTAAGGATATTTCCATCACTTTCCTTCTGGCCCAGCTACGCATCCTACATGTAGTTTCCATGAGTTCACTTTTCCTTTTATGGCTGTGTAGCCCTCCCCCATTGCCCTACACCTCTTCTATCCCCATCCCCTACCCTCACTGATTTTTTTTAACCATATGAAAGGACATGTTTGCACACAGCATCTTCATGAATTCCTACTATAAATAACAATAAATCTGATTACAAAAGTCTTATATTCTCATTCTACTCATTTCTAGCCACTACTTGGCATAAGAACCAGCCTATAGTAAGCTTTTTCAGTGAACAAGCTTGATGCAAAACATCATTCCCTCATATCAGTGACAAAAGTAAATTACAAACTGTATTCAATTTCACTCTAAACTTTTTCTCTTCTGACTCTTCCAGAAAAATGTGATGACTAATGACTCATTTCATACCAATTACACCTGTAGGAAGCCCAAATGTTCTGCAGCAGAACATCATGACCATCACTTACTGGACTGCCTGCATCATGCCCCTCAGAACACACTATGAAGTAAGAAGCTGATGAGCTTACCAATAATGTGTCATGACTTCTCTGACCTTCAAAATTTAGTTCTTCACACACTTGAAAACAACCAAGAGGCCTTTCCAAGCCACATGAGCAAAAGCATCTCTCTCTAATTCAAGAACAGAATTGCAGGTTCCCAGGACCAAGAAATTTTGTTGGTTGCTTTAAGATAAAGCAGACATTCAAGAAGCAAAAACTAGGATCTAATCTTTGCTTCAGGTTTGGATGATTTCAACTCTCTCACGTATATGGCTCTTCTAAGACCTTATTCTCTGAATGTTTGTTTACTGGGTACCAAAAATATACACCCCAGACTTCACTGTGCAGCATCTGCCATATTCTCCTGAGATTTCCAGAACATGTCCTCTTAAAAGACAAAAACAAAAAAGTCTTTTCTCTACTTCAGTCTAAATCCTCTGATCACATAAGGCTTAATTGCAGGAAGAAAAGCTTGGAGAGGATCCAGGAAACCCGATATCCTAAACTAGTTTTTTGTGACAGCTTCTGAAAATGTTGGAAGGAAGATCTGTGTACAAAATAAAACAAGG